CTTGCGGTTCTCATCTAGTTGTTTTTTCAATTCATTAAATTGTTGACTTGAGTTGTTTTGGATCTCATTGAGTACTGAGTTTTTTTAGAAGTACCATCCTGAATTCTCTGTCATTTAAGTCGCATATTTCTATGTCTGTAAATTTATTTTCTGGAGATTTTTCTCTTTCTTTCTGAGATGCCGTGTCACCTTGGTTGCTCATGGTGTTTAATGGACTGTTTCTCTGCCTGGGCATTAATGGAAGTATATTCTGCTGTTTTTTTCAGAAAGATTTATTATGTAAAGATCTCTCTTTAGCTTGTTGTAAAGAAGGCGCTTTTCTTTTGGTTGTCAGTAGGTGGCATTTAAGCCTCTTGGATCCGTGCTTTATATAAAGTCTTAATAACACTTTTTAAATTTTCTCGTAGATATTTAAATCATGCTCGCTACCCTCTTTCAGTCCCTGTCAGCGTCAGTGACAATCTTGGCAGCGTTTGCTCAGACTCCCCTGGGGCTCTGTGGTGATTGGTCTTGGAGGGTATGGGGGGAGGGGCCCTCTGGGTTGGGGGTTGGGGGTTGCAGCTCAGCCGTGGCCGGCACTAATCAGTTGTCCAGATTCTCTGCTTTCTGCCCTGATGACTAGGCACTACAGCCACAGCTATCCCAGGCAGGAATGTTCAGAGAAGTCACCGCTGGAACTCACCGCTCCTTTTCCCCTCCCCCTCCTCCTACAGGGAGCTCTGGTGGCTGCAGAGAGGCAGCTTCTTTATTTCTCCCAGTCCAGACACCCGGGGTTCTGACCTGTGGTATCTCTTATGCACAGATCCCACGCTCAGACATGCTGGTGTGCAGTTTGGGTGTTTTTTGTTGAGCTTTAGATGTTCAGCTTATTGTTGTTTCAAGGGTAGAGATCTGGGGACATCTCTCACTCTGCCATGTTTCCAAAGATCTACCTGGTATGTATTTTTAAAATAATTCCCTTGGGGAAGTCCTACTAAAATCTAGAGGTGATCAGAGAGTTATTGCTAATTTAATTTTCTTACATATTTCAGTATTAAAAAATCAATGAACTGAAATACATAGGTCTTAATATGTGTTCAATTTAACTTTTGTTATCAGAAGAGGAAAAAGTTTATGCCTTAAAAGAGCCATTTGTATTAAGCCATCAGCATTATTTTAACAGAAAGTACACAACTAAATACAGAATATTAAGATTTTAGCCCCAACTCATTTATTATTTAAAACACTAACCTCAAATAAATCATTTAACTTCTGTGAACCTTTATTTCCTCAAATTTGAAGAAGGCCTTTCAAAGGTGTTTTTTGTGAAAACATCTAAACCCTATACAAAACAAAATCGTTATGATAATTCTTATTCTGACTTCTTGTTCTTCCCTGGAACCAAAATGGGGTGTATCTATTCAGTCCTTAGTATTTACCTCCTCAGAAATCAGACTGTTCATGATGAACATGTCTTTTTCTTTGTGTCACATTGCTCCATGTGAAAAAACACCATTGAGTAACATGAAGCCAGTAACTGA